CATACTCACACACACACACACGCACACACACACACACACACACGCACGCGCGCTCGTACATACACTCACCTCGCACTTACACATTGGAATAGGTTAGTTTATCCCCCGTCCAACTTTCCCCCCTGTTGTTCCTAGAGAAGGTAGCTATCGCTGTGTGAATACACAAGACTTGCTCGGAGTGAGCTTACTTCTGCGGGCACCTGCGCTAACGACATAGTGGAAACCTTGATTATCCTTGAATTGTCCTTGGCAACTATCTTAATTGGAATGAAAATAATTACGCCCAACATTCTGTTTTTACACCTGCCATCGTGTTGCCTAAGATAGGTCCGTGCTTCTGTTATCTGTAGTTTGCAATTGAAATAGTTAGCTCTTTACAAACATATTATTTTTATTTGTTTTATCCTTTGAGAGAGTACAGAAAATTTACTGGTCGGTTCAGTCCAACTTAATATATCCTATTTTTGCTCAGCCATTCCAGACTTTAAAAAAGAGGGTTACGTTTTGTCCTCGGTCTTCTTTTTCATCAGATCAGCTAACACATAGAAGGAATAAATTATCTGTTTGCAATGACGTAATTGAACCACAGTTGATTTTTATACCAGATGACTTTAAGGGTTGGAGGACATACCAAACAAAAATAATTTTATATTAAAAGGGAAAAAAAGTTTGTTTTTCTTTTTGATACATTTGAACGCTGGGAACAGAAATTAACAAATGACTTTCCCGATTATTCTTCCCAAAGGTGGTTATTCATGTCTGTTATCTCGAGAAAAGGGCCCTTGAACCTACTGGGACTTGATATTTACATTCACATTTCTATCACGTTTGATTCCAGCTGTTGTATACCTTTAGACATTGAACTGTGGTATCAGACAAATGGAACTTCCGTGAAATATTTTCAAATGCCACAGCGCCAAAAACTGTCAATTCTTCAGGGTTTGTCGTGTTGTTCCGTCGGGCTTACAAAAGTCTGCGTGGGCTCATTCATTTCGTAAAGGACTTAAAATTAGTTGTTCGTGTTTTAGAGAACGCCACGAGAGAATGTCGCGAGGACGGCACATGGTACTTTGATGCTCACCACAATCGGTCTTGGACTGACTACAGCTTCTGCACCAACCGTGACCCGGATGTTCCAGTGGAAACAGCTGGAGACTTTGTCAAGGTAAATGTTTACTGGGTCAGACAGTCACAGGTATCTGGTCATATGGCCCAAGTAGGTTAACAGGTCATTTGACCCATTTTGAAGCAAGGGAGTTTATTTAACAGTGTAATCCGTTTGACCAACTGTCCTTGTAGTTTCATTAATTTGGCCTATATAGTTTAGTTTGAGAATACTTTTTTTCAACAGTAAATCCCTGGTCTTCAGTTATGTTCTACGAAACAAAACAAACATTGATAAAAATTCTACGGTTTATTTTAGGAGTTGAAAGAGGGGGGGGGGAGGCGGTTATCTTACGCTTTAATAACATAAGGAAGGGAAAACACAGAACACAACGATGATGCTAGAATATGATAATTTTGGCGGTTTCTGTTTGGCTTCTTTGCCGGTTTCTGATTACTTTAACTTAGTAACGGGGTTTTCCAGTAGATCTACGTCTTTGATAAGGTGGGTTAGGTCAACCAACAGATGGGCAGATTTTTCGTGAGATTGTTTGTTTGTTTATTTGTGTGTGTGTGTGTGTGTGTGTGTGTGTGTG